AAGCGACTATCATGCATCGTCGGTTTTCCAGTTCACATCGGGTCGCAGCAGTTCAAGTTGGGACTGCGCATTGTGTGACTATAAAAATTAAATCAACATTGACGATAACCGAACGTATGCGCGACTTAGTTTTTTGAATTAGTTATCTAAACATACAGATGTTGCTTTGATTTTCATTTAAAACGATGTTTGTAAAGAAACTGCCGAGTGAATTGAGAGTAGTATACAATATGTGATGCAATAGAACTACTCGAAAAAGGAAACAAGAAAGAGTGGCTTCCTACGGCATGCTGAAAGAAATGTTTTTTGTTAGTAAGAATTCCTCTTATCGTTGCCATTTAAAATATAGTCTAAGTTCATGGGCTTTGCTGGGAGAATCAAAAACTAGAATATTTCAATTTTCTTCAAGATCCTTTCAGAAACAAAAAAATATTTTTATACAAGAGCCTAATGGTTGAACGATCCTTCCAATATGACAATTTGATCAAGACTATGTGTATTGGCTGCATTGATTCAAACACGCCTCCTACGTATGCATAACATTTATTATATTTTCAACACAATTAACAAACTTATTCACAATTTTTTAATTTAAGAAAAGATATATAAATAATACAACAATTATAATCAAATATATATTTAAAGTTCATAATTTAAATACCCCAAGTATCGCGTTTAAATAATTAATATTCCTAAATGTGCAGCTGTCAGTTTGTAGAAAAGGATACGCATAATCTTGACAGAGCATCTACAATAATTTACTAGCGCGTGCCTTGGGGTATGTAGCGTTTGGGTATGTGACAGGATATACGCAGGATATTAAAGTGATATGTGCAAAAATCAAAAACTAACTCAGAGTTGACATCTCAGACAAGAAGACAGCCAAAAGTGAGGTGCAACAAAATCATGATAACTACATATAGAAACAAAAAGCTTGCTAGCAAATGTCAGGATAAAGCTGCAGGAGCAGCCGCCGTACGTGCGCAGCCTGTAAATGTGCATTACATCCATGGCCAATGGAATCGCGTGTGTGTGAGTGTCGCAATGTGTGTAGGTATTTGTATTTGCGGCTTGTTGTGCATGCTAATGGAGCCGCCATGCACTCCATAGCTGCAGCGTCAGCTACTTTAGTCTACTTTCTGCTTACCTGCTTGCACCTGTACATTGCGACTCAATATTGTGCCGGCCTCATTGCTGGCTCGACAACGGTAGGTCGCCTCGTGCACATCCGTGCGATAATATTGCGCCAAAAACGGTGGGAAGTGCAATGTGCCATTGCCAGATATTTTTCTGCAATACAAAAATAAAATAAACTAAGCAGAGCACACACACAAAGAACATAAGCAGTATGCAATATTTTAGTACGCAAAGTCTTGGAGCTTTCGTCGTTATTTATTTATACACATTGAGAGCGTAACACAAAAATTTGTTGTACAAAGCACCCAAAATGGCAGCCACTTTGCCGGCGAACATTTTTATATTGCAACTATAGGCGAACATTTGCATAAAAATGCAATAAACCTAAGGATTCTCTTATGCACTGAACGAATGGGCTAAGCAGCTGGCGAATGCATTTGCACGACAGCTACTAACAATGGGACTTAAGAGCAGCCATCGCAGCTCTATAAAGGAGAGTGTTTTCACTAGAGAGGGCACAGAGGAAAATGCACATAAAATATGTAATCTAACACAGGGATTATTAGGGACTATATGGAGCGTGGACAACACAGTTCAATGATGTTGAGCATTTGGTCGCACAATGGTTTTATTATCATTATAAATATGTATATTTTGTTCTTTGTAATATTTTTTATTTTTGTTTAAAAATGATATTTATAAACATAATATTTGAATTGTTATTATTTATGAATTTTACAAATCGGTAGAGATTTTTTGTAGTTTATTGTGTAATTTTATTTTATTGCCTTTGGATCATTTTTTAACCATTTTAAAAATGTAACTCTGCCGTTACAACAAATAATACCAAATAGCTATCTCTTCCGTATTAAAAAGTCTAGCTTGTAACTCATAAACCGTCGTTTAATTTGATTGTCTCGGTTGCTTAAATGGCCATCACAAGCAATCAACATTCCATCACATAACTTATGCGGTGCGCAACGAAGGCAAACAGCGTACTGTGATCCACCACATTCCATTCAAAGCACAAAGGATAGCATTCCCATTCAATGGTCGCTAATCATCTCTGGGAAGCCAACTAACAAGCAACAGCGCGACCAAGCTGGGGGAGGACAACAACCATAGACCGGCAAAAAACATCAAAAAACTTCATCAAGCGGAGTTTTCAAAAATGTTTAAGTGCTGGCAATTTGTTTACGTCTATTGCGTTTGCATGTACCCAAAAAAAAGGGGGAAAAATAAAAAAATAAACTAAAAAACCCCCATACTTTGTGGGTCGGCGAGATAAGTACACAACCCGTATACTTGTACCCGAATACGTCACTTGAACTCAACTATGCTCTTTAGCAGCTTAAAATGAAATTTGTTTCATTTCCATGCAGCTAGCTCTGATGTGTTCAGAACTCATTTTGGGAGCGAAAACTGCCAGTCAACCACAGGAACACATACATGCACAGACAACCCCGCAGATACAGAGTCATTCACAGCGAGTGTTACGTGAATTGCCTGGCTTATATGCACATATGTATTTATATAAACCTATATGTATGATCACGTACTTCGAATGACATTTCATTTTAAAAAAAATTTAAAATTCCTTTTAGTATATTTTCAGCGAACTCTATTACTGTGCGGGGCGTTTGTTGTTCTTTATATTTACTGCATATTTGATAAATTCTATATTATTTTATTCGTAAATCAGCGGGCCACAGCACATAATCACAACAGGCTTACTAAATGGGCTAATGCAACATGATTGCGCTTATACAGTATGTAGGAATATTCTAGCTACTTAGGGATGAGCGTGTGACATATCCCGAAACGCAAAACCCGCTTGTGTTGACCTGTTGCTAAATAAATATACATTCTTCATTATTTGTTGAACCAATACTTTGTTGAAGACAACTGGAATTTCACACTTTGTCACACTATGTGTTAATGTCACTTAAGAATTATTTTTCACGAATAAGTGTAATCTATGAAAGTCGTTTTGATTGATACAATATGATTGACAGTGGTATGGATTGATTGATATAATATATATTTTTATTTTAAATTTAATGCCTTGCATAGCCCATTTCGATAACTTAAAATGTTATATTTTTATTTCGTGCCCCGTATCGTGTCCTTAACGTCCCATCTCTACTTGGCAACAGACGAGCACAAAACTATGTGCATTTATTTACCATCGCAAAGCAATGCCACATTTTAATTAAACATTTAAGTTTTCATAGTGCACACAACGACGACAACAACAATAACAAGAACAACAGCTAGAGCCTGACAACATTTTAATATTTTAAGTATTAACAAAGGGCCGACAGAGAAGAGACGGAAGGGGTGTGAGCATTCAGATTCAACTCGTACGTCTGGTTGCATGACATTAACATATAAGCGCACATAAGCAAGGCGAGTCTGCAGCACTTGTTGTTGTTGCAGATGTTGCTATTGTTGCTGTTACTGTTGTTGCTGTGTGGCAGCCACGCATTACTTTTGTGTATAATTTCTTTGCTCCTTTCAAGCCGTTCCATAAAGAGTGCACTTATTGTTTGGTAGATATAGAAGAGCTCGTTCTTTTACATATATTCTGTGGCCTTTCATTTGTGGCCACAGAAAATAGCCTTCCACTGACAACATTGATTTTGACAGGGCTCTTGAGAATGGTAGCATACCTTTGGGCACCTGTTAGACTGATAAGCTGCAGGGCTTAAAAAGTTTGCAACTCGCTAGCATGTTAATTGAATACAAGCCCGAAAACACCTTTGCCCACACCTTTGCCCACAAGCTGAAGCCGCAACAATGTGACTGCTGCAACCGCAGCTGAGAAGCCCGACGGAGCAAGAGAGCACACGTACTTAATATTATTCATACGCATAGTTGTCGAAACCGCAAAACTCACCTCAGACCAGGTACCTGAGTTGCCAGAGTGCCGTCGCGCATCACCCAGGACACCACCGGCGGTGGATTCCCATGTGCCGTACAACTAACCTGTGCGCCCGTATCGTTGCCAAACAGCAGGCGCGGCGAGGGCTCCAGCAGGAACGTGGGCACGCGTAAGCCGCTTGTGGCCTGTGAAGGCATTACCAGCCAAGCGACAGCCGCCAGCAGCAGCAGCAGCCTTAGCAGAGCAGTCTCAGCAATAGTTGCTGACAAAAAGAAACAGAGAGGTAAAACAGGATAATTATCATCATTATGTAATTATGCAAATGCAGTTGTGTATGTGAATTGTTTTAAGCTTAAAGCTGGTTAGTTGCAATAGTAGCTGCTGCCAGTTGTTGGTTGCCCTCCACTTGTGCGAGTCTTATAAAATGCAGCTAATTTGGATTCGGTTTCAGCGCACGGCTCTCATTTAGGCAGCACTTGAACTAGGCTCTCAAGAGGGCCCAACCAGGCAACCAGGCAGCCAGGCAGACAGGCAGAACGGCAACGCAGACGAAACACTTTATACTGCAGGCACTTGTGCATATGTGTGTTTGCGGCAATGTGTGCGTGTGCCATTTTACTTTTTGATATATTTATGGCTGCGCGTGTACGTCTGTAGTTTGTTTACCCGGCTCAAAACTCGCTTAACTGTTACACAAATGAAGTTTAACTTGTTGGCAACAACGATGACGGCAACTTCTTGCAATAACCACAACAACCACAACAACTACAACAACTGCGGCAGCATCAACAGACGACTGCAATTAGTTACCCACCTTTTTCTCTATTTCGAAGCACTAATAAACCCATCGCGTTGCATGCAGGTTATATTTGTGTGTGGGTGTGCGTATTTGTAGCTTGCTTTATGTTTTCTGCTATTATTAAATTAAATTTAGTTTACTTTGGTTGCAGCTTCTCTTTTTCCACTTGTTATTTGCAATGCTTATTTTGTCTGTTTTTTGCACAAAAGTTTTCACTATTTTTATTGTTTCCTTTTTGTTTGCCTTGCTTCCCGCTGACGTCGTCACCTTCCACCTGCAGATGAGAAAACAAAATTCACTGGTATATTTTTCTTTTTAAAAATGAATATTTTTCTTTTTTTTCAATTAACTGTTATTAAAATAACTAGACTAGACAATCATATTATAATTTATGTGAATTTGAATTTCAAAAACTTATAACCTTTTCTGATTTAAAAAAGATATTGATAGTGCAAAAAATGAAACTTATTGAAGTAGCAAGTGAGGGCTTAAAGGTGTTTAGGTAGGTACTTTTAAGGGAAACCAAAGAATCAAAGCAAGTTCTATACGTTTTATGCATTAGAAGTGACCGAATTATGGTTTATATACGACAAAAGTATTATAATTAATATTTACATTTTTATTATTATTCAGCATATTATTTAACTAAACTTTAATAGCTGAAAATTTTTTCATGACAGGCCTATGTACACATACATAGTGCATCTCTACAGCTCATGTCAAGTTCAACTCTGGGCCAGAGCCATAACAACTGAGTAAACAACAAACAGCATATTCTATGCTCCGCAGAGAGTGTTGTGCATATAAACATGGCTAGGCGGACGCTGGGGCACAGACCGCACTGATGTGTGGCATCAAGTCTGATGCCACCGACTCCGCACTGGGATTCCAGATCAGTCAAACAAGCAGCAATAACAACAACAAGCAACAGCAACAACTCAGTTTGCATTGCTGTACAGCTTTGCCGCGCACTTTGTAAATACATTTAACGAGTATTTATGAGCGAGCATAAGAAATGAATGACTTCTGGCATCATTAAATTTTATTCGCAACGGGCACACCCACACGGCAGACGAGCATAACTACAATGAAGAAAATATGTACAATTTTTTGAGGTCGAGGAGTTGCTTTGGGTGTGAGCACGAGACTCTGAGACTTAACACTGAACGTTCGTCTATTCATTCAAAAAGTTCAACAGCCCTGCAAAAGCAAAATTCACAGAATATTTATTGTGATGTATGTTTGCCACGCCCACTGCTTAGGCAGGCACTTTGCGCCTTAGCAGCGACTAAACAAACATCATCATGACACCCATTAGAAGAATCGACGGCACGCCAATGACAGGGGGTGGCATGGGGCAGGTATGGGTAGAGCAAGGGTCACACTCAAGAGTCCTTTCATGTTTGCAACTTGACACCTTTTTAGCGGGGCCAGCACCGGATGTGAATCCTGGTCTCTGCTCCATGTGAGAGTCTGACGGGCTTCTTCTTCTGTTTGCATTTAATTGAGAATTTAAAATGATTTGTTTATTTTTTGTTCAACTGCGTCTTTTGTTGAAAAATTTGCTGCGAGCGTTTTGGTTCTTTGCTCAGCACTTGGTCGGTGTCGCCGTCACACAAAAAAGTGAGTGTGCAGACCTACCCCCACACTGCCACTGCCCCTCGCATGTGTGTGCGTGTGGATTTGCTTGCCTTTCATTTTTAATGAGTTTTTATTTTCCACACTTTTGTATGCCGCTCTTTGCCCCGTCTAACTGTCTGGCTGCCTGCGTTGGCAGTGGGAAGCGAGAGGCGTTTGGTAACACCCTTCACCCTTCAGGATACATGCCGTATCCTTTGCGCTCACAAGCGTTTACTTTTCCTTGTGTTTTGTGTGTCATAACTGTTAACTGTCAGCAAATTTGACGCTAAATGTGTTGCGGCGCTTTAAATATGTCGCACTGGCTTACTATGTGGTTGCCTTAATGTCACTGTATCTCTGTATCTGTGTGCGTGTGTGTGTGTGTGTTGGTGTATTAAGCGTATGTCTTTGTAATGTGTGTGTTGGTCTATAACAACTGTTTATCTGTTGGCAGTTTGTTCTGATAATCTGTTGCTCGCTTTGTGTCATTAAAAGGCCAGCAGCTCATGATCCTTCGGAGTAGCAGAACGCCTGAAGCCAACAATTCTGAATTGTGCTAAATGCTTTTCTAACCACAGCTTTCAGTCGCAATAAAGGACAATGCTCGTATCAACTCGAATGCGTTGCCATTTGTTACAATGCGGTCGACAAGAGCTCAATAAACAATTTGAGTTATGTTCATGTAAGCGAAAACTGAGGTCAATAAATTGGAAGTATTAAGCCTTGAGATACCCTGGCATGATTGAATTACGGTAATTTTTCATAGAATAAAATATGCAATTTAAATGCTTTGACATGTGTTACGATGTGCTTGACAAGACGCACTACCTGGGCCTAATTCACAGAAATATAGCATCACAGAAAATATAATGAACAAATGTTTTTAATTATATTCACATGTTCTCTTTAACTACTCGGTTATTAATAAGCTCGCAAAATTCCTTATTAAAATTATAGACTAATCATTAACATTCCAGTACACCTCTAATTTAAACAGATATTTCATACCCTAATCATAGCCACATCTTGAATACAATGCTTACATGAAGCTAAATCTTAAATGCATTCAACAATAGTTAATTGCAAAGTTATTTTGAATAGTTCGTTGTACAAAATTCAATTTTAGCTTCTAATTAATTCCGTTCAGTTGCCAATATGAAATACAATTTCCTAAATGGCCTAATAATCGATTCATTGTGAAATGCAGTTTAATTGTTCCACTGGAATTTCAATTAACGTGTTCAAAATGACAATGAACAAAGCATCTTACCTCTTGGGCATCTGCAACTCGGCTAAAAGCCGCAATCAGTTTCAAATTGAAAGCACTTTTATGTTTCATTGTTCAGAGCGCCATTGTCTTCATTAAAACACCTGCTGTTGCTCGCATTGTCGACTGGAGTTATATAATTACTGCCTAAGTACGTGCCCCGCCACAAAGTAAGCAGCTCCAGTAATGTGCACGTTGTTAGCAGGGCAATCAATCTTGCACGAGAAATGGCCAAAACGCACACCCGAACACAGAAAGTAGAAGCAAGTGCCATGCAATTGCAGCTGGACTCCTTTGGCAGTGCCACCCTGCCACCTTCATTGCAGAGCAAAACGCTTCGCTTTGCATTTTGCACGCGCCTTGAACACACAAGTGTGTTTGTTTGTGCAACGTGAATGGCTTTAAGTGCAATATGCCACAACAAACAGCAACAACGGCGCCACACACAAAGCCAGCCATCCGCACTGTGCTGTGTGTGCATGTGTTTCGGAAGCAGCCGAGCGCAAATGCAGCGTGGCACCCTTTGGGAATACCGGAAAAGTGGGCGTGGCTGGTACTAAACGCTTTTGCATCCGCCATTGCCACCTCGTAAGGCGTCAAGCAATAATTTTTCTTCTTTTGAGTCGAGCTGTTGAATCGTTTTAATGCTCGTCACCTGAGCTGTTTGTATTTTTACCGATACCCTTTCTCTGGGCATATCAATATTATACTAATGTTGCCAACAATATGGGTAGCTATTAATAGTAGCAAAATTTTCCATAATTTAAGTTATAGAGCTAAGCTATAAGTAAATGTGAACACCCACAGCAAGCATTTGTGTCCCTTCTAGGGTATATATTCCTAGTCAGTATGAATAGCTAAGTCGATATGGCTATGTCCTCAGACAATTATAGATAAGATTATAATATAGCTATCACAGGGACAATCGATTTATTTTTACAGACATCTTAACCAAGCTTAACATTTGAAAGTCTACCCATGCTCCTTATATATGAGAAAACTCTTATCAACATTGCAATAATGATATGTTATCACCAATTCTTCCTAAGGGAAAAAGGCAATGCTAATGTCTTGATATTTAAAAATTGCAGCTTTGCCTTAAACAATCGCCATAATATCTTTCTGGCGATGAAATCAGGAATCACTGCAATTCATCTGCTGATGTTCAAGGCAACAACATTTGCCGAACTTGTATTATTTTAAATAAAGTTTTAGAATAATCATCGGAGTTAAATGCATTTTTAATGTACTTCTACACATAAAGAGTATTTTTTTTTTGTCCATCAATAATAGTCTTTTTTTTTTGTTTATTTATGCTATTTTCTTGCACCTGAATGTGAATAAGAATATGTATTTCGCCTACACTGCTGCTGCTTGTGGTAAAACGGATGTGTTTGCGTTTAGCGCTGGTTGACAGCTTGGCAATTTATGTGGCCGACTTCCTGGACGTGGACGTGAATTTAAAGGCAACTTTAAGCGGAGCGTCGACAATTTCCTGTTTGCCCCAACCGCTCCAAGCTCGCGCTCCTCTAATGTGAAACGTCTAAAACAATGGATCCATTTGCACACCCACACAGGCTGAAGTGCAACTCTTTGGCGAACCCGGAGCACAATGGGTCGGGTCGAAAGTCAAAGAGCATCCGTGGCGGGCGTTGGGTGCGGTGACAACGCACTCGTAAATGGCAGCGATTTTGCACAAAAGCGGCCACTGGAACAATGACAAGAGTTGGAATCGGAATCGGGCTCAAACCTAACGCCGGCTGCTGACTGTTGCCTGGCGTCTGACGGTTAGCGGAAATGCTGAGGCGACGAGCCACCTAATAACATTTTCCATCTCCAGCTACATAAGCAGCGGGCAAATATTATACCCATCTGGCTGTGGCAGCAACGTTTCGCGTGTTCCAACAAATGTTTGGCCACCTTTTATATTACATCAATTCAGGCGCAACGATTGTGTAAAGAAAAATTGTTGCGGACCAGCCACTGTAATGGTCGCGCATATTTTTTCTAAGCCATGAAAATCTTCCATTGTTGTTGCTGCAACGCCAGCCCAGCCGCAGGGACCAAGCGTTTCGTGGGGTGGAGGGGCGACTGCATTGTCACATTGACTAACGCTCGACCGACGCGACTCTCGTTTCCCATTTTATCACGGCCTCCATAAGGGGGCCTCTGGCGCTTTGGAGTGCCTTTGTTTTGTTGCTGCTTCTTCTTTTTTTATTGTTATTGTTGTTGTAGCTTTGAATAAAGCTGGCTTGAGTGTATTGCCGCGACAACGCTGGCGACTGACTGTTACTGACATCGCCCGACTGTCTGACAAATAAATTTAATTGGTACTAGGACCGCAAAGCCGTTTTTAAATTTTCTCATTTTTATTGGATCCGACTGCGTCGGGCAGTTGACTTATTTTGATAGCAGCTCATATATTAATGTAAGTAAAAGCACTCCCAAACTTCTTATTGCACTTCTTGCAAATCTGTAATAATGTGTTGAGATTTAAACAAATAGTTTGTTTAAGGCTGTTAACTTCATAACTTTTAACTTTTTTGTAGGCGTATGTTCCTTGGCATTTCTAAATGTTTTAAATGTAAATAATTTACATTCGATCGGACTACATTATTATTTTTTATGAAGAAAATATAAACGCATTGCTGATTAAGATTTTCAAAGTGTGTTACAACTTTCTTCAGTTACTGAACATATTTTTTATCCATCATATTACTATACCTTTTTTTTGGAAAAATTCAAAGTAACTTTAGGATATAATCTATGATTTGATTTTTGCATTTGGTTTTTACGTATTTTTCCAAGGCACCGATCAATTGCTAACCTTTGTAAGAACAAATAATGTTTTTACAGATTAAACTTTAATAAGCAATCTGGCCTCAAAGCCTGAACCGCAACATATGCTTGTGCGGTTCTTGTGCCAAACTTATGCAACATTTTAGCTTATCTCTGCTCTATGCATAATTCAACAGTTTGGCTGGCAAAAGGCACACACAGACATAGCCCGGGATTGCAAAGACCGCACAGCATTTTAGCAGAAAACCCGAAATATCCATTGAAATTTGGCGATTTGTGGCAATAGCAAAGCAAAGCAAAAGCAAAGCCAAAACTCAACTGGTTCCAACTAATTCGGAATAGACAACAAACAAACTAAAATCGAGGGCTGCAAAATGAAAATTGTAAATCATTCAATGAAATTACCTCGTTATCTTTGGCCACAGAGCGCGGCGAGCGAGCAACTGCTCGGTGTGGGCAGCGGGACGATCCTGGGATCCTGGCCAGGCCGCAGTTACATTGAGTTGCCTGGCATAAAATTGTGATTTTATTATTTTTGGCAGTGCGCCCAGAATGCGGCGCTTTGCAATTGCTTTGTCGCGCAAGCACATGCATACACACACACACACACACACACACTAAGAGTCTCACATATGCTGGCAGCTTTCACATGCAACGATAACTGTTGGAAGTGAAAAAAAAACAGCTTGCGGCTGCATTCAACAATTGCCAAAAGGTGGCCAAAAACAAAAAATGAAAGAAGAAATAAAAGCAAAAAATGAACCGCGACCATAAATTATACGCAGTGTATAGACGGAAATTTTTATGGACTGTGACTGGGGCGCGCCTAGCTAGGGGGCTCCATTTCTGTTATGCTTGTGTCTTTTTTCAGCATTGGCTTTTGGCATTGTTGCCGCAATTTTATCACACTTTGATAATCGTGTGGCACATGCTTCACGACACGTCAGCGAGCCCGACCACGTTGCCATTCGATTCAATTTGCCCGTCGCTCGCAGTTTTACACTCGATAAATTTCAGCAAAGTGATTTAGTCACTTATCGCGCGGCTTAGTTGCTGCTGCTGCCAAAATTTGCATACATTTTCTTTGGTTTTTTTTTTCATTTTCATTTTCTTCTTTTTATTTTGGTCACTCGACACTTTATTGTGCGACCTTTTTTACACTTTTTCCATTAAGCGTCGCTTTGCTGATTTGGTTACTGCGCTTAGCGCACAAATTATTTCACCTTTTATTCAATTTCACTTTATCCACCAAACGTGACACTAATGTAAGTCAACATTCTGCATTACTGTGTGAGCGTGTGTATGTGGTTGCAACAGCAGTCGCCACTTCCGGAGTCCGTGGATCGTCAGCCGCACACACAAGACACACACACACACAAACTGAAACCGTTTGGGGGGCCAGCAAAATCCACTTTTGTTACATTTTTTATGAACACATTCGCTGGGACAAATAACCCGTAAAGTCAGTCAAATCCACGATAAAACCGAAAAGCGCACACACACACACTCGCACACAGTGGATGGATAAAGTGTCAGCAAACGAAATGCTGCTGCATAGTTTTAGGCTGCCGCACATATAGCAACACACACAATACACTGCCACACATAACGGTACAAATTCTGACACACACATAAGAACACACATGCACACTTATGCCTGGCCACTATCACCGATGGGCCCTTTCCGGCCCCGAGGCGTCGACAACGCCAGCATCCATTAATGCTTTTTCCATTAAATCCCCAAATAGTGCCTAACTCACACAGGCTCACATAGTCCGAGCATTAGCCATACAAGTGGGTGTGTGTGTGTGTATGTGTGTGCTTAACTAATATTAATACACTTGGCCACGGCCAAGCCACTAACACGCAACAGTTTCAATTTTGTCCGCTTCACACGTCCAAACAGTTCGAAATGCCGGCAATGACTGAACTGAACTTTGAATTTGCCTGCTCTACCGTCCTATGCTGCCAGCGTCGCCGACTGTAGCATCCTCGATTGCCAGACAGACTGAGCAGCGATGTCGACGTCGACAGCGACGTCGGCGTCAGCGCCAGTCGGTTGAGATTATCTCCGTCGGCTATTGCCCTTCGGCTCATGGCTGTAACTGTAGCCAAACGTTGCGACATGATTGAACGGCGCACGCTGCGCTGCCAGCTGCGATGTGAACGCATTCTCTCTTTTTTTTACAATTTATTCTCTTTGCTATCTATCTGAGTGAAGTAACTATAGCTTGCATTGTTGTTACTTGCATACTGCGCTTTCATTACTTACGCTCTCTTGCATTAGGACCAGAGGGCAAATGAATTACTCTGACGTCTGAGCAGAAAGACAGAGAGAGACTGAGAGGGAGAGATAGCGCCAAATCAAGAGATAACGCTGTCTCTGTTATTCCTGACCGCTGTTCTGATTGAATTATGAAGTTCCAAATTATTAATGAGAGTTAAAATTAAAACTGAAGAACTAAGCGTTAAAATTTTAATTATCGTCTGCTGCAAGCGCATTAGTCCTATTTACGCTTAGTTGAATAAATTGCTATCATTATTTAATGTCTTTATATAGTTGGAAAAGAAGTATGTACATCTTAAAAACTTTAGTTTTATTGATTGAATGTTATTTTGAATTCATATCTTTATAAAAAAAATTTAATTAAATTGTTCATAGCTTAAACGAAATTAGAAACAGAAATATTACAAAACTTTTTTATAAAAACCATCTTTTATAAAACTTAAAAAAAAATATGTTTAACCATTATCAATAAAATGCAATAAATAGTTAAATAGTACAGTACTCCTTACATCAGCATCGCCCCTGGCCATGGCAAGGGGCAACAACACTTCATCACCTCTATGGGCAGCTGCAAACATAAATCACGCGAATGTGCAACGCTCAAGTGTCGCATTGGCGCCAAAAGATATGCTACATAAAACACGACCCGCGTGGCAGTTACCCCTGCTCTATGAACGCCAGCCAGACGCTTACTACGCAACTTTTAGCGTAAAATGTCATTCACTATTCGCGGACAGCGTTTGGCTTTCGCTGTTTATTTTTATTCGTGGCAAACATATGCAGTAGCACGTGTTGCTTCCCCAAGTTGGCTCTCTGCTGTCAACAAAACAACGGCGCCTGCGCGCTCTTTCGACGCCAGCAGCGAGCAGCGCATCGGCTGCGCTGCCAGAGCACTGAAAAGTTTAAGGCCTGACCTACGACAACCAAACGAACCAATGAATGTATTGAATGCCGACTAAAAAGATACATAAGTATGTGATTTGCGTGTGTGTTAGTGTGTGTGTGAATCGTTGTTCATGAGAAAGAGAGAGAGGGAGCATCGCATAGCCTAGACCTGTCAAAGCGCATTATCATTTTCATATATCATGCTTAATGCGGGATGATATTTTCATTTAGTTTGTTCACTCTCACCATCAGCACACTATATAAGTATATATATGTTAACTGTGTGTGTTTGTGTGTGTGTGTTCACTTGGCCACAATTCTGCGTATTAACTAAAATTGCCAAATACTCGAGTGAAAGGCTTTGCTTAGATAGATGAATCAACTGGGATTTCATCATATTTCCAGGCAGGCAGGTGGGCCACCAGGTAGCAGACAGTAGACAGGCAAATAAATCACAACAGCCTGTAATTTAGAAGTTGCATAACTCAATTGGCAGGCGAAAGATATTTGTCGAGTCATTAATAACTTAAATACACGTAAAGGGGATTTACACTTTTCAACTGAACAAAGCCTGGTTTATGCATACGCTTTTTAATAATATTTAATGGCATTTTGGGCAACACAGCGCGAGGCAAAAAATGGAACAAAAACAAGGATGAGAGACTATATTCACATCCATCTATCACACATGAGCTGACAATACAACGACTGGGACCATCTTGTCAGTTATAGGGTCTCGGGGCCCGGGTCACGGGCCTTCAACAAATGACTCGGTCCATTTATGCAAAGCTCTTTAATAAATTACAAAATTGTAATAATTTACCGTGCACATCAGCGACGGAGCCGCAAAACAGGATAAGGCGTCCTGCCAGGCACACAATAAGGCTATTGAAGTCCTCTCAGCCGCACAAACACAAGCAAGCGAATACGCACACACTCTCGACTTATGTATAAGCATATCAGTGTATCCGTCCTGTTGCTTTCTGAGTTGCCTTTTGGTGCCTCGACGGCTCCTCTACAATTTGTATTGTGTGAACTTGGCCAACACCAAATGGTATAATTTACGCAGCTCGGTTATCTTACCATTTAATTTTAGATTTACGGCTTTGCTTTTGCGCTTTTTGTTTGGCGAGTGCCATTTAAGTTGGTATGCGCACATTTTAGACGGCAAAAATGTTTCTAATGGGTACATTTATTAGCAAAGCAGAAGCTAATTTTTTATAATATAGCGTTGTATGTTAATACTAGCAGGTATTCCCCGGCCGTGCCCGTGGCAAGTTTTGTGTTTCAAATTCAAGATAAAATTTACCACAAATTTTCCGCCTATGGAAAACTTTAATCTAGCCGTACTATCTTCCACTCCATATATAAAAACAAACAATAAACATGAATATATAAAAAAATTAAATTATTAGTTCAAAAATTAAATATAAAGCCTACTCCGAGTTTGTTTTATCGTGAATCCATAAACACATTCAAGATACGCTACGGCCTTCCTTCAATATTGAAAACACGTTTAACAATACATGTCCCAAGTGCTCTGCTTAGACAGCTGCCAATCTCTTGAATATTTTACATTTGCAGTCTCTGCACAAAATAATTTAAAATATTATATATTAAATACATAGCTTACAGGTGCCCCGACTTTTAATAATCTCACTGAGTAATACAAGTTTAACAAGCGTCGTTTTGTTATTAATTAATATAAAGCTTATAATTGTTTTTAATTGTTGGTTAGCAATGCCTAACACATGCCGCTACAGCGCTAAGTACTTCAAGTTAGCCAGCTTTTTGGACATCTTAGCTCTGGCAAAACCTGAACCTGATTCGTAATAGGCTATTAAGATAGAGCTTTGCATCAGCATCATATAAATTCGTACCGGCATCATTTTCACCACATAATTCTGTTGCGGCGTTGCCAAAAAGCAAGAACATGCTGTATGAACAGTTTCGACCAAACTAACTTTGCCCTAGATTAAATAAGGTTTATTTCAACTGAGAATTATACAAGCAATTACCTCGATTCTGTGATCAAATGAAACAACTTTCAAGCAATAATCGCTTTCCCACCGCACTCTATTAATGGCAAGACAGACCTGGCTGTAACGGACTAGAGTACCCAAGAGCTTAAAGATCATTGAGATAATATGTACCCTGTGTTCCTATTGCTTCCGGTAAGATTAAACTAAATAATGTTCTTTAGACGTGGATATCTAAGAAGATGGCATGGGATAATCTAACAACTAAAATGAAGGAATGGACTGAAGCTCTAGCGTTTTATTATCTTACTTCAAGTAACAGCAGTGGAAACAGTAAAAAGAATCCAAATCGCGGCACCGCAAATAAGTACTTCTCAACTGTTTATCTTTGCTTCAAAGTAAGCGAATCTATTTAATCTACAGCGGCTAATTATTTTAACGTAATTTAAGTAGTTAGAATAAATTGTAAGTGTACAGGAGCCAACGAGCTAAACTTTATGACACTTCACGCACCTGAAGCTATAAAAGCGTCAGGTTTTGGCCAGAAGAGCCACAGTTTCATCTTAAGCATCAGTTTTAGTTAAGCTTAGAATATGGCAGTCAGTTTTGTTGTACTATACAACTGTCTTGTGCGTGGCCTAATTGTGCAACCCTCAGGACCTGTGTACTTGCCACAGGCCGAAGAGACATTAACTCAAGGTCCGGAAATACTTGGACTAGAGGATCCCACCACTCGTACATCGGTACAATTGTTTTCATGCTTGTATGGAGTTGGCCAAATTCCTGGAACATCAACACCAACAACTGAATTCAATGCAGACCGTCGCGTTTCTTTTGCCTCTGTAGATGATTTCAGCCAAAATGGCCTGGAAATCAATAATCAAATAGCCACCGACTACCATGACAACTACGGAGCTCAAAACCCCTCAGCTGATTCGGAACTACTTACAGTATATCCAGTTACCACACCGACTGCACCAATTCAACGCCTCCCCGCCTTACATACAGCCAAACGCAATTGTCACATTATCAAATGCCCCAAGTTTTCCCATACAACATATGGCAGCGATGGAGACAGGTGCTACGAGTTCGTCAATCCGTGCTTCCTGGCCGTCGCCAGCTGCAAACGCCACAATAATCGACTGCCAAGTAAGCATCTATTTTAACACTCAAGCCTTAAATGTTATGGTATTTTATTTGCAGGACTCAAGGAAGTGAGCAAGAAGCAGTGTGGTACTCTCAAATCTAATCCCAATTCTAAGTAGTTAAGTGAAATCCGCAAAATATTGAGTAAATTGTATTTAAGAATGCGGATAGTTTTAATAGTTAAAAAGTGAAATAATAGAGTTAATAAAAATATTATATTTATTGAAATATATTTGCTTGACAGTAAATTATAGCCCCAACTTGTGTTCTGGCCTATCAAACAATTTAAACAGCCAAAGATATTAAAAAGTTAGATATAAAGTTAAATACTATAATCTATAAGTTGTTAAAATAGCATTTATTATAGCTTCAAGCTCATTATCATTATAAAGTTTATCATATGCCATTGCAGATTAAGCCAAAAATGCTTTAATAATTTAAATATGCCACTCAAGAGTCGCAATTGACATATTATTAAATTTGGCCTTGCCCCTTCGGTCTCGCACAACTTTCAACCAACGAACTGCCTTACTGCTGGGAACTACAAAAACAAGGCCAGCTCGAGTGATAACAACATGGGAGAAAGTGTTGCCTGTACACGAAAACTTTTGCCTGG